GGGAGAATGCATATAATTTTACCTCACTGCACATTTTTTCTCCATCATCTAATCAGAACACTTGAGATTCACATGTTTCTTCCTCATGACTTAATATTGACTTTAAAAAACCTCAGCAAGGAAGGCCTGGCAGAAATGTCTCTGGGACCACTAATGTAGGGCCTAGGGCCAGAATGAGGGAGGACAGTTTCCATGAGAGTATTTCTCAAGGTGGGTTTCACATAGTGCTAGTCTCACAAGAGGCCCAGAACAAAAAGTATAATGCCATATAAGATATGAACAGAGCTGAAAAGGAGTCAAGTAGTAAAGAAATCTCTTTACATACTTAACCAACCCTGGAACTTCCACTCATCTATATTTTCCTTTATTTTTAAAATACCTATTAAAATATTATGGGCCGGTGTGGCTCAGTTGGTTAGAGTGTCATCCCATACACTGTAAGGTCATGAGTTTACCGTAATTCCCTGCCAGGGTACATACCCAGGTTTCAGGTTTGATTTCTAGTCTGGGTGCCTTTGATGATAGATGTTTCTCTCTCTCTCTCTCTCTCTCTCAAATTAATAAAAACATATCCTTGGGCGAGGGTTAAAATTTTATTAAAAAATTCCATAGACTATTTCGAGAAATGCTAGAATATGATAATTGATGGTGGGGGTATAAATGAAGCTAATGCAGATTGTATTGTTTGTAAGTGTTTTTGAAACACTTGTTTGCTCATTGCCTCTTTCCTCTTAGCTTACAAACATTCATCAAAAAAGATATGTTACTAGAGATCCAGGCCAGATTAAACAGAAGATACTAATAAATTTATGAAGGAAAAGCTATTTCTGTTTTAACTATTCTGAAAATTGAATTCTTAGCATAATGTTTCAATACCTGCTTGCAAAATAAATAAATAAACAAACAAACAAACAAATAAAAACCCCAAGGCCAGTTGGTCAGAAACATTATTCACAAATGTCTAGAAGAACACTAAATGTTGTCAAGCAAAATATCTATGACCTAGAGCTTGTATTCATTGTCAAAGCATTTTACAGGAAAGGATGCTAGGGTGCTATGATCTAGGGAAGTTAGAGTGACCTACAAATTCCCTGTCCTTGACATTGGCCTGGATCCCATGGTCATTGTATTTGAATCACAGACATACCTTTCTTGGATAGTTACTAAGTTTTTCTTACAACTTGACTACTGCAAAGAGAAAATGTGTTGACTAAACGATGCAAAAGCGGGTCAACTTTGTAATCCTTTATAAATTAAACACACAACCATGCAGATTTCTTGCCTCTGTCTCTGGGTTTCTTGACAGTTTATTAACACTTTTGTGCACCTTCTCTGGGCCTGAGAAAATTCCTTCTGAGGTTGAAGACCAAAACCAAGACCACCAAATTCATCAAGGTGAAAGAGTTCTTGAAACCTTTTGGAGATAGCATAGTGTCTTCCCCTTCTAGCTAGCATTTCTACTCATCTTTTCTTTTGAAATCTTACAAATTGGCTTTCTGTTATTACAGTCTCTACTCACATCTCTACCATGAAGTGAAATTTAGCATGAACTTTACAAAGCTCTTCTTTGGAAGAGATAAATTCTATTTTCACAAATTGAGGACATTAATTATTATTTGTTGTTTAAATTCTCTCTTACAACATTGATGCATGTTTTTTCTAGCTAAGGTAGAATAATCAAGAGAGATAGTGTATTTTTATTTTAATAAAGCTTCTGATAATTTTTCACTTTTTCCATTTGTGTTTCCATAATATACTTAAATTCTATAAAGCGATGATTAATTTTAAATTTCTCTACCATTTATCATATTGGTAATTAATATATTGTCTTTAACCATATATATCTATTACCAATGTATTTTATTAATGCAACATTATTTGTGATTATTCTAATGCTATTTTATTTTCATATTGTTAATCTAAATTAAATAAAACTGTATTGCCCTTTTACCATGTGTTTTTAAGATACTTTAAATGAATGCTTCAAATTTAGTTTCCTTTTTATTTATACTATTACTATGATTACTATTTTAAAGAACACATAAATTATTTTTAGAGACAATGGTCATATAATTGTACTTAAAAGTAAAAAATAATGAAATATTTATGAGATACAAATAGGAAATGTTTTCTACCCAGTCACTATGATAACTTTTCAACATAAACATCATTTTTTTAAAAAAGCTATTGCTAGCTATTCTAGAGCTAATATCCACTTTTGTCCAATTCTCACACTTAGTTTAAATATATATTTATATATGTAGATATATATATATTATTAAGTAATTTTGTAGATAAGAAGTTTTTGTTCTTTCTACATGAAAGTCTTTTGGGGTGAGGAAGGCCAGATCTGGAAATTAGTGGTAAATAGAATGAAAACTTTAATTTCAAATGCTTTTTACATTCTTCATTAATGTCCTTTATGTCCTTTAGTCACTACTTTATATCAATGCCAATTTTTAGTTATCATTGCCCAACCCATAGCAAATGAGAAAAGAAGATTATGCTTTTGGGCACAAAATATTAATACAGAGTTCTAAAAGTGATAGTATTGTCTGTTAATAATTTGTCTATAAGCAAGTTTGTTTTACATAAATGGCTTTTTAACAAATTTGAAATGTGAATATATTTTATTTTTCCCAGTGAGTACACAATACACAATTCTTTGACAATACTATTAATCAATGTTACGCCAATTTCTTTTCTGATCTAACAACATCAAATGAAACATTAAGATCTTGAATGCTGTTTGGTGACGTAAACAAAGTACATTTAAAAAAGAATCCACCTATAAAACAAAATATAAAAAGTCTACCCACGGCCACAAAATCCCTTATCTTGCAACACTTTAAAGTCACAATAAATGCTTTTAAAAATTATGAGATAAGAAAACTTAGTAAATGGAATTTCATTTAAAATGTATGGTGTTTCATTTGAAGTACACATTAAAGAGAAGTAAAATAAAAGTAATTTTACCTCTAAGGTAATGTGGAAAGACATGTTGCATTACACCAATTCTTGTCATGTAATTCTATAAATACAATATACAGAAGCAGATGAACAAATTAGTGAATGTCATGGTTTGCATTTTTTAATACTGACACACAATCACTTTCTAGTGGAGAAAATAAACCAGTTTAGAGTTCATTGGTATTGTTATCATTATGTTGTCAGTGGACAATTACACAAATTAGTTCAATAGAAATTTGGAGGTTTTCTATCAAGCTTTTACAAATTTTCAACTCAAACCCCATTGAAAATATATCTAAATACCCAGAGCATTAAACCATGGCATAGAAAACCATTTAATCTGTTTTGTTACCTAAAGCAAGTAAACTTGCGATGTTTTTTCTTCCTTTGGTTGCATACATGTTGATCTTGATTTTCCTATATTCTCTCTTGAGCTGGATTCTAATCCTGTGAAGGAATCAACTGTTTCCATGTCCCTGTACTCTCCCACCTTACATTAAATATGGCATGGAAAATTTTTGGAGAAGGGGTTGTTTGACTCTGCCTGCATACACTGAGGGATACCTGAGCTGGGCACTGATTCTACTATGTCCCAATGGAGACTTTGCCTGTTATGAATGGAGCTGTGCTGTGGGGTACGACTGCATACCAGTGTTGTTTGTGTGCAGGTAAGATTACATCCTCTCCCACCCAGAGTTCCTTCTAACTAACAGCGTATGTGGGCCTGTCTCTGTTTAGATCTGCAGAAGAGTGAGCTCAGTGAATTTCTAACCAGTCATTCAATTGGCTACAAAATGAAAATTCATGATACTTCTCATACTTGCATTTTTAATGATATTTTGACCTATAAGAATTAAAAGCTTTTTACCTATGGCAAGCTGACAAAGCCTTGATGTTTTGGTAGTGCTCCTGAACTCATGTGGATAGCCACAGCTATTTATTGTGCTCTGTATCTACTTGAGGATGGTATTTTATGTGCAATATTTGACCAACCAATTTATTTAAAACTAGATTTAATAGGCAAGGTGGACTATTCTAAAAGAATATTCCAAGACACCATAAGGTCCACCCTGACATAATATAACCATAACAGTGAATTTTATGTACTGGAGACAATTAGGTACAATGCATGCCCAATCTTATTCCAGAAGTCACCTGTGTGCATATACTCTGTTTTTGAAGTCATGGTTTATTAGTCACGTACACCTGCCAGTTACCAGGGGCAAAAGGCTATGTGTAATATGTGTAATGAACTAAGGTTTTAGATTACATCGGGTTGTAGAGGAATGTAAAAAGGAAATATAGATGAACAAAACTTTGCTTTTAAATAGAAAGAGATGAAGTAAGGAACTGCATAACTAAAATTTTAAATTCCTCACATTCTACAGTTGTGACTAAGTATGCACTCATTCTGAGAAGAAATTTCTCATCCTCCCCAGTCTCTTTGTCCCAAAGAAGTCAAACTGAATTAAAATTCAGACACTTATGGGAGAAAGTTGATGACGTATTTAATATGTGTGTCTCAGAATTTTCTCCTCCATGAAGAAATGAAGTGCATGACAGGAGTTGGGGCCCATAAAGAACACTGAGTTTCTGAATGTGTGCCTGTGTCAATGCAGCCTCAGGTGACATAAAAGATGGACACATTTAATTTTGCCATTACTGTAATAATATGACATACATTTGATGACTGAGCCAAAAATGCTCAGTTACCAATGATTTACCATTCCAATGGGTCCTGTATTTTAGAATTAATACCTACTTATCATTATATTGAATATACTTTAAAGTATCAACTACTGAACACATCATAGGAAAAACATGAGAAAGTATAACTAGAGAATTTACAATTGTGTAGGCAGCACACGGGAAAATGTCACAAGTGGAAAGTTCTCTTCTACTTGACTGACTATACATGTAGAGTAGCTAACATATATTTCAAAGTCATATTCATTTTGACCATACATGACTGATATTCAGGAAATGCTTGTTCTCAACGTCGTGAAAACAAATGAGGCAGGACACTGTTATTAATGTCCATTTACCAGGTTCGGTTTTATTTAAAAAGTGTATAAACATGCATTTTTCTCCTTTTCAATTTTTCTTTTCAATTTACTCATTCAAAATGGGTCAAACATATTTTAGTTGGTAGCCCATTTCTGAAAGTGTACCATAAAATATTTATTCCAATAAGTCTACTTACTGTGAACTGAACATACTCTGAGCACTGCTTTTTAAGCACTTACAAGTTGGCTGTACATTTGGTGGCATAAACTTCACTTTTTCATCAAATGAAACACAAAGTTGCATATAGACTGCATTATTATTTTAAAAGTCATGAATTGAAGTGATGCAGCTCTATCCTCTAGTGTGTACTGTACATGTATTAGAAAGATGAAACAAGATATTGCAATAGAGTTTTTGTATTTCGAAGCAGCCCGAGTATGTCCTAACAATAAATTGCCTCTTTAACTATTTGCTGGATATTCTAGAGTTCATTTGGTTTGTTTCCTTGGGGAACATCATATTATATTCTGACTTAATGAGTTGGAGAGATTAATTATGTTAATTCAGAAAATGCTTTTTTTTTAAAAAAAACTGTAATATAAATACAGCTCTTGTGAAACACCTTAATTTCCTTTTGCTTGTTGCAATTCTCAGATGGGTCAATTACAACAAGAGGTAAAGCTGATTCTAAATATAGCTTTAATTTCCTTATTATGTCTTAAAGCAAGTTTAGTATATCTTCGCTACTTGTATAGTTTAATGCCTATTCAGTCTTAAGTCTTAAACTTCCTTCTTTTGACCCACACTTTTATCAACAGTAAAAGCCACCATTCTGCTTTTTTTTTTATTTTTTATTGACTTGGTCCCTGATGTTCAAAGAAGACTTCACTAACACCACTGTCCTTCACATCTTCCTATTTCTATAGCCCAACCAAAAACCATCCAACGTGATTGGTTACAATCAGCGTTATCCAACCTAGCTTACAGTACAGCAACTCCCTTCACATTCAGTCTTTTTCTTCATGTCACGAGGAGTAGAGATTTGTGCTTATCACCAAATAAAATTGCAGTGCAAAATTTAAACATAAAAGTTACACAATTAAAAGTTAATATATGGCACCACAGCCTATTAATTCACATATAGTACAACAGACCAATAAGAACAGACAATAATGTGAACAGAGCTAAAAAGAGTGAGCTTGCATAGCAATGCACAAAAGAAATTATATACAGAGGAAATCCTTTGCTTCCTGGAGGGCGAGCTTTGTTTTCTTTCTTTTTTGTTTACTCCTGACAAGAAAGAGTTAAGGTGGGTGGTGTACGTAACAGAAGAACACAAGGAAAATATCTGTGGGATATGTGTGGCTGTGTGTCTTTACATTGCATTTACAGTTCTTTTAATAGTACATAAATAAAGAAATTGTTCATTGCACTGTTTAAGTGTCATCACTTCCATGAGTTCAGACCTGATGGTCCTTCAGAGCAGCTTTGCATGTCTCATCTCAGTTACTCTATAAAGAGAAAAACAAATCAGAAGTAAGTTTGCATTTAAGTGCAGTATCCTTTATCCAGCATACCAAAAACCAGAGGGACAGATAATAAGTGAAAGTGACATCATCAAATAGAGTCCATGAGTTTGTGAATTTAAGAAATTTTACTGAAATGAGATGGGAAGGGGGGGAAAAAAGAAATCCTGTGGAATTTGGATATTTAAAATTCAACTGGAGCTATTTTGCACCTTTGTGAATCCATAATTATTCCAAAATAAAAGTTAAAGAAAAATCCAAGTACTCATGAATCAAAATAAAAATTATAAACATAGCTTAGTAATAATCAAGTTAGTAATATGAAACAATAACTCATATCAATAAATAATTTAAAGTTTTGAAAGTATTTTTAGTTTTCATTATTTCATGTCATCCCCAGTCTGCCAGGTGAGCATAATAGCAAGTAAAATTTTAGATAAGAAAAAAGATTAGGAAGGCAGTTTAGTTTCTCTTTTCACATAACCAGTAAGCAGTTGAGATTGGAACCCAGGGCTGCTCCTTAGGAGTGTTTTTAAACTGTATTGAAAGAAGCAGTTGAACATATTCAGCAACTATTATTCTGAAATAGAATAGCAAAATTGGTAACTTTCCTGATGAAATTAACAAGAGTTCAATGCTTTCTACTGTGACATACAGTAACATTTTAAATTTCTCTATTTCCTAGTACTTTATATTTAGAAAACAGATTAGTTGTAATAGGCACCAATGTTGGTTCCCTATTCAAAAAGAGAAATTTATTTCTAAGTTATGTTGTAATAGTCAAAGTATTTTAAGTTAACTAAAATCAAAGATCAACATTTTAAGGTTGATTCACCAAATTAAAAAAAAAAAGAATTCCTAAGGAAGTTTTTTAAAACTACCAAAAAGCTAATACTCAGTTATAAAGGCAAAGAAAGCTACAGAGTGGACCATATTTAATCAACTTACAAGTATTAAGACTAATTGGCTATGTTAAGATGATTTTTGAATAATATAAATCAAATTTGAAAGAAAGGACATGTTTATTAAATTGACTACTGTAAATAGCAATGGTCTAAGTTATAAACAAACCTGCTCAAAATTATAATTGATCTCATAGTAGAGCAAGTTTTCTACTATTGTGAAATTTGTTTATTGTGGCAATGTTATTGATGGGGTTCAGGACATGCTACCCCAAAATACAGCACCTTGGAATATTTTATATCTGAAGTGAAGGAGTTTGAGGACACAGCAGAAGCTGGAAGGTCACTCTGGCCTCCCCCGTTCACCCTTGTTTCCTCAAACAGATTATACAACTGCCCTGTGACAGTTACCCTGCCCCCAGTGCCAGGAGGAAGGAGGACATTCTTATCACAAGAGTTGGGGCTGAGACATCTGTATAAATAAACCTTGTAAAACTAACCTTTATCATCCTAGTTACTTCTTCACCATTCACTACCCTTAGCTCAAACCCTTCTATGTGGTCAGTTCTTTACATACGTATTGTTTCTTTGTCTAAAAGGTAGAAAAGTTTCCGCCACTTGTCAGTTTTTTAGACCTTCATCCTCTTGAGAAGGTTCCCATGTATATGCAAAAACTTAATAAAATGTATTTTTTTCCTGTTAATCTTTGTCAGTTTAAATTTCAGATACAGCCAGGGAACCTAAGAGGGTTGAGTAAAACGTTTTCCTCCCCTACGTTACTACGCAGATATTCTCTCTAGATCACCATTGCCTTTTCAATCGCCTACAGCACTTACATAATTCACTTGTAAACTGTCCTTGACTATTTGAGCCCATATAGCCTATGTCAAGAAGGTCGCTGACATTGCGCTGGTGGCCCCCCTTCAGCACCTCAGCTTTCCTAGGTCCAGTGGATCCTTTAGAAGACGCTGTTCCGGATGAGCTGTGACCTCCTGGAGACGGAAAGTTGGGCTTGCTGTAGGGCACCAAGGTCTCCTCTGGAAAAAAAAAAAGAAACATAAAGTGCTAAGTTAAACAGCAGCATGTTGACAAACAAACTTAACTTTAAATATTTAGCTCAAGATGAACTGTTTTACCATTTTGAATTTTAGGAAAATTAAAAATATGAGATTTAATAAAGCTTGAAAACTAAAAGAAATTTCCATGTACAACAAACATTTCCTACAATAGGAACTAAAGCAGAATTAAATTAAAAGATGTATTGGAATACATATACAATGTTACGTATCATTTGCAAAATTTAAAGATATTATAAGAGACCTGCATACAATGAACCATATTATTTAACTAAAAAATTTTGAGAATAATTTCTGTAGTTTAGTGGAGGCTCCAATTTAATATTTCTATTAAGATTGAAAGAACATGGTTTTGACTTTAAATTATGAAAACATTTTTTCTCAAATTATATAAAGAACTATATATCAGCTATTAAAAATAAGCTTCTTAAATTTCTATTGTTTCTTGAGAAAGAAGCACATTATTTGAAAGCCTGTATTCTCCCTTAACAGAAAAAGAGACACTCATACATTTTAATAAATAACGTATCTGTTCTCTTTATGCATCATATTTCTACAAATAATGTACATAACTAGATATTTAATACTTTGAAATGCTTTTTCTTCCTTCCTTCCTTTTTTCTCTCCCTCACTTCCCTCTTTCCTTCTCTTCTTCATTCCTTCTTTCTTTCTTTTTTAAAAAAATATGTTTTTATTGTCATTTGGAGAGAGAAGAAGGAGAGGGAGAGAGGGATAGAAACATCAATGATGAGAGAGAATCATTGACTGGCTGCCTCCTTCATGCTCCCTACTAGGGATTGAGCCCACAACTGGAGCATGTGCCCTGTGGGAATCGAACCCGAAACCTCTTGGTTCCTGCGTTGGTGTTCAACCACTGAGCCACACTGCGCTGGGCTCTTGCTTCTTTCTTTCTTCCTTTCTTCTCTTTTCTTCTCTCTCCACTAGCTTTTTTTTTCTTTTTCTAGGTATTGATCATTATTACTATGGTTATAAAACTAAAAAAATTGCTGACTGAATTTAGTATTTATTTCTTTAGATAATCTTAATGACAAGGATCACATGATTCTTCTCTCATAGTCTTAATGCTTAACCTTCTTAAATGTTTCACTAAACCTAGATGTTAATATTGTCATTTTTTAGCCACTGCATAAACTATATTTCTAAAACCTTGAGCACCAAGTTGTGACAAAATATAATATTAAAAATGCATGTGAAGATGACATATCTAGAACAGATTCAGTCCAAATGAATAAATGAATGTACAAGGAAACTCTTTCAAATGTTGTGTGTGTGTGTGTGTATTTTAATAACCAAGGAATCCTGACATAAGAAGAGGTAATCCAGAAAATGCATTTCTGGAACAGGCTCACCACCAACCTCCCTCACCCCCACCCCTCACCAAAAAAATCCAACTATGAACCACTAAATTTATTTTGTGATATTTCCAGGAAACTTGATATATAAACAAGAACATTCCCCCATTAAATTGTTAACAATTAACTAAATTTAATCAGTTGGAGAAAGTATAGACTCAGTTTAAAATTTTCTAACCTGAGGATTCTGTGATTGGGCATTGATTCGTAACTTTATTGATTATTTCAATTCAGCAATTTGACTGAAGTGAGTTCTTCTTTCAAAATGACTAGTTACTTCAGTCAAAATGAACAAATTGGTTGGAGGCAGAGTTTAAAATGACATTAAAGGTGAAATTTTGTGGTCTTAAAAGTACTCAATATAAACATTAAAAAGAAAAAAAAAACCCTCAAATTGTGTCATGAGCACTATAAATGGAGGTTGGAAGTCTCTAGGCTCAAAGACCCTAGCAGAGGTTAACTCGAGGAACAATCCCTATTGGGATCAGCCCTTAGGGATGTGCCGGTGAGCTCTGCTTCGGAATTCCAAATTCAATTAGTGATTCAAGGCAAATGCATTTCAGAAGCCTTAAACAACTGCCATTTCTAAAATACCTGGTAGGAAAAAAATGGTAAAAGTCCACACTTTGTTGGGACTGTGCAGAACACACCTGGTCCAACACCTTGTTTGTGTAGGGCTTTCCGTATGTCTTCTTGGCGTTCTGTGGAGTTAATCCATTCCTGGGTTTGTCGCTGCCACTCTAGGGACGTTCTAGCTGGACAATCCAATGAGCTCTTTGTGTCTTCTAAGTTGGATGCTTGTTGTCTCTCCAGAGAGCTTCCTTTTCTCTCTGTTGAGTTTTCCACGTTACCAACATGCTGGCTCGGGCCTATTTGTTGCCTTATACCCTGACCTGGAGGGGGGTCTGGTGGTGGTGGAAGATCTAAAAATTTTGAATAATGTTTAGAATGGACTAAAATTTAATGAAAAAAATACAGGTTTTAGTTCAAGATGAAGAAAAAAAAAAAACCCTGCCCTGTTAAAAGTATCACCCATGCAAAAAGTGGTTTTTTTTCGGGGGAAAGGCAAATTGTTTACATCCAAATGCATATTATTGATCTCATTGCTATCTTTTGATCACAGTGTCTTTGAAATAAAATCAAATGACTTTATTCAACTATTATATGTGTAAAATGTGTTCAATTGCACATTGAGGCTAACATTTAAGGTGCAAAGGGCCGTTTATGATTTCTCCATATTTAATCCATTGTTCACCCCCACTTCCCAGAGTAGAAATACCATGACACAAAATGACTAGAAATTCTAGCAGCTGTGTTAATAAAAGGCTCTGGGAAGAATAAATGCTGTCCTGCCAATCTCCATAGGAAACTTTGCCCTTGGGAAATTAAGAACTCTATGCGGTATCATATGCAACATATGACTGCCTTTACTCATGTATGTGGCACATTTAGCAACAAAAGGTTTAAGCTAACACTTATGAAATGCAATTAACATTCTGCCTGACAACCAATGCTAGCTATTCATTTCATGAGTTAACTAATGAGTTACAACTAATATGTTATACTCTTCCAATGTATTAATTTTAATAAGTAATAACCATTGTTCAAGGCACAGATAGAATATGCTTCATGGTACTAGAGTAGACACTGTATCATGAAAATTTGAGATATAGTGGCATAGATAATTTTACAGAAAAGTTCTTTAAATTACATATTAGATATGAAAAAATTAAAAGTTCAAAGACTTGGCTAATTTTTTATTGTCTTTTTATTAGCTCTTTAGATTGTCATTACTTTTATATTTTTAGTGTCTTCAGTTGTGACATCATAAACCTTCTTTCATATTTCTTTAAGTACTGTACTAGTTCTGTTATACTAGTCATACTAGTGCTGAAATTACTTCATTGAAGTAATTGAAATCTAAACATTTTTAATATTCTATGGATTATTTTCTTCTGGCATCCCATTAAAAATTTTTTTCATCCTTAGAATATCAATAATATTATTTGCCCATAAAGACCAAATATCATATATAATATACATATTTATTTTATTATAGAGGATAATGTATATAATATAGGTAATTAATACCCATACAATTTTGTAATTGTGCTCTTGTTTCTAATAGTATTATTTGTAAAATTAAAAGGGTAAGGTATAATTTTTTTGGACCATAGGTAGCTTCCTTAAGGAAATCTAAGCTGCTCCTTGTAAAGATTTTCTTAAGAAACGTTATACTTTCTTTATGAGGAAAGTGATATTGTCCTCTGTTGAACTGATAGCAATGGTCTCCTCAGCATCTGCTCAGGAAGTTCCCACGTTGGAGCAGAGCTTTTATTTCTCATGCATTTCCTCTTGTTAGATGATGAATACTAATTATTGAGGGGACAGAGTTTCTGTCTGGGAGAATCAAGTTGCATTTAGAATCTTGCTTCCAAAAAGGAAGAGCTAATCTAATATTGAGATATCTGTTTGTTAAATAATCCACCAAAGAGTTTGGTGTTTCTTTTGATTTCAAAGCTGACTTCCTTCAGTATGTATTATTATAAATTCTAATTCATTATATCCTTTGAGTTATTGGATTTAAGACTGCCAGTGGGAGAGAAATTATTGTAATTTCTTCCAAAACAACATATTTTGTCATTGATTTTTATTCTCTATCAGAGCAGTTTAATTTTTTAAATGGCCAAAATGGAATCTGCTTATGTTAGCTAAAATTCTGATCACTATTTAATTTAACCTGAAATTATACAGCTACATCATTAAAACCCTTGGAGTTTGTATATCCTAAAAAAAAAAAAGAGCATTTCATACACATTGAAATAAAAAAAAAGTGGAAAAAAGATAGAAGTGAGAATGGCTGTGGAAAAAAATAAAAGTATGTAATCAAATATATGTACTTAAATTAATTTTATTATTCATGTCTATGTTGATTCATTTTAACAGAATCAATTTGCTAAAGAGTCTCTTACTGGCCTACTAAAGATTTGCTATTGTTTGGCACATAGCAGTACAGCAGACCAATGATATATATGCCAGTATTTCTCTCTCTTTCTCTCTCTCTCTCTCTCTCTCTCTCTCTCTCTCTCTCCCCCCCTCTCTCTTAGAAAAAAAAGGAGACATGGAAAAATTACATATCTACAGCCTGGATCTCTCCTCCCATGAACTCCCAACTTAGATAACCAAGTCCACACTGAATAGTTAGACTTATATGTTTAGAAGGCTTCTCAAATTTCATATACCCAACCTGAGCTCTAGATCTTCCTCTACAATTCATGCTCCCTCTGCAGTGTTCCTCATCTCAATTAGTAGCTATTCCATTCTATAAGTTTACCAAAACTTTGGTGTAATCTTTGACCTCCCTGCTTAACAGCCTATGTTAATTTATTCACAAATTCTGCGGACTCTATCTGCAGTCTATATCCAGAATTCAACCTTTATCATTGCTTCCACTGATTCTACCATAGTGTGAATCACTATCATCTACTCCCTATATAACTCCTATAACCTCCTATGTGGTTTCTGCATTTCCACATAGAAGCACATTCAGCCTACCTCAACAAAACAGCCAGAGTGACTATTTTATAAAGACAAAAGTAAGATCATGTCACTCCGCTTGCCTTAATATGCACACGCACACGCACACACACCCACTTGCATGCACCTCAAGGGTTTTCCCATTCAAAGTAAGAGCCAAGGTCCTTATAGAAGCTTAAGGGTCCTACAAATTCTGGCCCTAGTTGACTTGTCTGACTTTGTATTCTATTTTGTTGCTCTCTCTGCTTTTAATCAAATAAGCATAAGGCTTTCACTTACTGTTTTCATTTTCTGAAATGACTCCCCCCACCCCATATAAGCATTGCTCTTTCCCTTATAATCTTCCAGTGTTTTCTCAAATGTCATCTTGGTAAGATCTTTTCTGAGCCCTCTACTTAAAAGTTGTCCCCCTATCTTTGTATATTTTTTCTCGATGACACTTACTACCATTTTACATACACTTTTAAATTTTTATTTTCACCTAGAGGGCATTTATGTTGAAATTATCTATCTTCTCCCATCAGAATACAAGTTCCAGAAGGGCAGGGCATTTTCTTTGTTTGGTTCCCATTGCCTATCATTTGGTATGAACTTAATAAATATTTGAATGAATAGTTTAATAAATAAAGAAATTTTCTCAATTGTCAAAGCTAGTCTGTGAAAGAGCCCCTTATCTGAACGGGGTATTTGGAATGAGTGGTGAACAGGCTGGAAGGAGATGATCTAGGAAGAAAGGTTGAAGAGAGAACTACCTTCTCTACCTTTTTTGTTCAGCAGTGGTCCAGGTATTGGCTTTACAGGGTATTCTTGGGCTTATGCAAATGAAATAGAACGTTTGAATTGAACAATGCCAGCTTAGGATAGACTTTATTCAAGGGAGAAGAACACTCAATATGTGTGTGGGTGTTTGCATAGCCTTTGGAATGGAGACTGACATTTCCCACCATTCCCAATTACTCTTACTGAACACAAAGAAATATTGTTTCACCAATCTAGTAGTTAGCTTGATGCCATGTGACAAAGTCCTTGCCCAAGAAATAAGAGAAGTTATATGTGCCACTTGCTGGCCTGACCATGGAATCTCCCAAGTGAATAACCCATGTTCTGTCTTCTTCTCACTCAGAAACCATAAAGGTCCCATCTTAAAAACAATGGTGTCCCAACATTGAAGAAGCATCCATCCTTACATTACTACTTAGAGGAGAGCCATGTGACCTTTATAAAATCATTGGGTCTGGGAGAAACAAACTTTTACTGTGCCAAGCCACTGAAGAATATGAGTTGTTTGGCATAGCAGGTAGCAATAATTACTCTGATGAATATTCTCATAAAACACTATTGTAAATAATGCAAACATTTTAGTGTAAAATATCTATATGCTAAGTGCTACTAAACACTAACCTTTCCAAAAAGGACAGTTGGGTTTTATATACAAACTAAAGGCCCAGTGCACAAAAATTTGTGCAGTCGGGGGGGTCCCTCAGCCCAGCCTGTGCCCTTTCACAGTCTGGGACCCTTCGGAGGATGTCAACCTGCTGACTTAGGCCTGATCCCCTGGCAGCCCGGCAGCCCTCGGGGATGTCCACTTGCCAGCAGAGAGCAGGCCTAAGCTGCAGTCGGACATCCTTAGCGCTGCTGAGGAGGCGGGAGAGGCTCCCACCACCACCGCT